AAAAAAAAAAAAAAAAAAAAACTCTTCTGGACTTTCCTGTACAGGCTGGCTTTGAATTGTGATGCTCAGATCTCCAGACTCCTGAGTTGTTAGTGTTACAGGTATGAGATAGAAAGGCAGTAAATTTAAGGGCCTGGACTGGAATAGGTGTTCTGAGCTCTGCAGAGATGAAATGGGCCAGGATGTACTTTGGGCGGGAAGAGCTTACTGGAGAGAGGCTTGAGCATACCTCCCCCCCCCCCCCGCCACACACACACAAATAAAGTCACCTACAGTGACAGATCTGCTTAGCATCCCAAGGTATTGGGTGCTATCCCTAGCACTCTAAATAAATAAATGATGTCACATTATTTAAAACAGAGAAGGGAAGAGAAAAAAAACTAATAAGGAAAAGATAGGGAGGCTGAGGCTGGCAGTCAAGCTCATGGGCAGGGCCGGCTGGGAAGGAGGAGCAGAGACTTTGGGAACAGGACTGCCACTAAGACCCGGATGTGATGCACCACGCATTTTCTCTCCACTTACGGCCCCCAGGTTCACCATCTGCAAAGCTGATCTCATCTGTGGCTCCACTTGGCTGCCGCCCTCAGAAAACAGGACCTGTGAGCCTGGCTGTCCTACGTATGGGCAGGTAAGTGAGGGTGGAGCAGAGGGTGAGAAGAAACAGGTTTTTTGTTTGTTTTGTCGGTCATGGGGCTTGAACTCTGGGCCTGGGCGTTGTCCCTTAGCTCTTCAGCTCAAGGTGAGAGTTCCACCACTTGAGCCACAGCGCCACTTCAGATTTTCTGGTAGTTTATTGGAGATCAGAGTCTCACAGACTTTCCTGCCCTGGCTGGCTTTGAACCGGGATTCTCAGATCTCAGCCTCCTGAGTAGCTAGGATGACAGGTGTGAGCCACCACACTCATACTAACGTGCCCCGGCCTTGGAGTCACAGTTGGCATCCCGTGGCCGCTGCTCGCCCCCCCTTCACACCCCTTCGTAGCCTGGCTGGGCTCTGGGACGTGTGCAGTCTCCAAGGGCCAGCTGAAGTCAGGGTCCATCTCTACTCAGGGTGGATCCACAAGGCTCAGCCCTCACGCCAGCCCCGCCCAACACGCGCTGGCCCCGCCCCAGACCACACCCCTTCGTCGGAGGCCCCGCCCCGGGACTCGCTGGGCCCCGCCCACAGGAACCCCAGCCCCACCTTTCTTCCTAGACCTTCGTGGACGGGATGGACCTGTGTCGCTCCGTGCTGGGCCATGTCGTACCAGTGGCGGCTCCCGGCTCTCGCCATTGCCTCAACATCCCCACCTCCGTGCGTCCCAGACGCCGAGGGCAGGCCCGAGGCCGGCGCGCTCCAGCCTGGATTCCCGAGGCCGCGGGCAGCGGCAGCGGCAGCGGCAGCGGCGGC